TTGGATTGAGATTGCAAAGTTGGTTTATTAAGTTACTTCGAGATATTATTCAAGCTTTTAGAGATTGACATCGAGCTTTCAAAAAAGCTCCCCAGATCTCTCCGTTAAAGATATCGGGAACCTACAAATCCAAGAATATTTTTATACAGGTCATATAAGATCGAAGGATCGAAATATGGCCAGACTATATAGAACAACTTAGAAACCTGGGAACATTTAAGAAATAATTCTTTGGAGCAACTTCAAGGCATTACACAAGTTTGCAGAGATTGACATCAAGCTAATTGCTTACAAAAGAGCTCCAGAGATCGCTCCGGTGTAGATGACGGGAACGTTGGACGTTACGAAACCAAAAATATTTTTACAGTGGTCATAAAAGTTCACGTCCCAGTAGAATTCTAATATAAAGCTCATATACTAATACAATAGTCTTCCGGTCAGCTCAACAAATGGCAAGTGATTCATGATAAGCCTACCAATTACTTTCTTCTGAAGTGGTAAAGTACAATACTTTTTAAATAATTTTTTTTACCCAAAGTTTTTAACCGTTACTTTTCTTTTTCCTTTTCAAGGTGAAACCATGTACCATAAGTAACCTCGATAGTTTTAGGAGTATGATAATAGTAAGATCCGATTCGTGGACTAATGTGAGGTACGAAAATTATTATTGCATATATTTTAAAACAAAATGTGTGGACAAAAATGAAAGTACCGTTATTGTATTTCTTAGAGAGGTATTTGCTCGAACTTATTTTACTGATATAATTCTTAAAAGTGATATTAACCATTCTAGCAGTCTTCGCTCAGGTATATAACTTATTTAGGTTTCTGATACTCAGTACTGCAATGGGTTCCATCATCGGATAAGAGCAATTCATATTATAGAATTATATATATTTGTGCACACTAAAATATTAGCTGGGTGAGAGACCTCAATCTCTAGAGGAAGATACAGAAAAACAGAATGACAAAGTTGAAAATAATAAAAAACGAAGGGGGAGAACAATAGAGAGGGAGAGAGTAAAACATATGTATATGGAGAGATGGAACGAGAGAGTATCAACTAATCTTATCAATGCAATCTGGTGCGACTTCGTGGTGTGAGAGAGAAGTAGAGATATATAAAGAGACCGGGAGAGAAATAAAGAGAGTTTAGTCTCATCAATACGATATAGTTTGTGTGGTGCGGTATAGAGATCAATGTCTGACCGTAAATGGAATAATAGCTGGTTGGGAGAGATTGAGAGAGTGTCAGAATGAGGCGGAAAGAGGGTGAATCAAAGAGAGGGGGAGTGAAAAGAGTTTGACAGATAGAGAAGGAAAGCAAGAGAGGCAATCAATTAGTCTCATCAATACGATCAAGCTTGTGTAGTGTCTTGTGCGAGAGAAGGAGGGATATATAGCGAAAGAGATAGAGAGAGATACAGAAAGAGAGCGAGTATCAATTAGTCTCATCAAAGCTATCTACTATGTGTGCTATGGAGGTCAATGTCATAGCTTACAGGACAAAAATTTTAATAGGATTCGTGCTAGTATTGGAAATCACATTTTTCAGCACTAAATACCAATAACGCTCTTTAAGAGCGCTCATTTACAAATTAGAATTAGCACACATTTACTACTAAATGCCAACAAAAACATAGGTTTTTCGATTTTCCTTTGCCACGATTCAACATTGCTAGACAATCTGTTGGCTTACGACTGCCACTTGCCACATATCTTGTCTACAAAAGAGAAATTTTAATTTGTTGCAAACTAAATTGCAAAACTATATATAAATAAAACAACTATAATAACAACAATGAAAATCTACACAACATTACAGCCCCACCGTTAAGCTAGCAATAAGAATTTCTCCTGACAGGCACATTCACTTGCTCACGTCGTTTCAATTACGAATGGCCGGTCAGCAGAATACGTCCAAGCACAAAACCAACCGGAAGCACAAGGACTCGAGCATAGAGCAAGTGAACATTAGATAGCTATTTGTCGCACGAGGAGACTTCTTGCTTGTTAACTAACGGAGTGGCTGTGGGGTGCGCTTCCACATATGGAGGGCACATTGGTGTCACATACTCACATACTATGGCGCACATGTAGTGCTAGTTGTCGTCCTTTTTGCAAGCAATCATGCTGAGAATCAACGCTGACCGAAGTCACTAACACTGGCACCGCTGTCAAGTAACGCCTTGCATTGCTAATTTCCCTGGTGGCGCTCACACTGGAAACGGCGGCGCCTGGCGACAGACAGCAACAGCGAAGGGCAGGCGAGAAATGTAGCAGCAATCGCGCGGTCAGTAAAGAGCAGCGCAGCTTCATTGATGATGACGGTCATTAGCGCCCAAGTCAGTAGTAAAGCAAATAGCAACAAAAAAAAAAACGAAGAAATAAGAAATGAGGAAGCAACAGAACATGCGGCGCACAAAAAACGAAATTGACTGCAAAAAAGCATGAAGCCAAAATTATAGTGTACCAGCCGCGCTCATTAACAGCAATTGGTAGCGCACTGCAAGAAGGGAGCGCGCGCGCTCATAATGCTGCAGACCAATTAGAGCGCCCTGCTGTACGCCTGCAGTAAATTTTCGATTAAAATCCATACGCACTATTGTTTCTGTTCTGCGCGCACAGTTATGAATGCCAATATAGCAGCGCGTCACGTTTGTTGCGGGATAAACTTAACTTATCTTTTACAACGGGTACAACAATCAACTTATCTTTTACAACGGGTACAACAATCAAAGTGTCCCACAGTTTAGTGTGTTAAATCGTCGGGCGCCTATTAAGCTTGTACGCGGCAGGTGTTATAGCAACTAGACAGGTACGCGCCGCCGGTTGTAAAACTTTTCGAGTGTATAACACTTAATTTCCGCAATAAATTTTCAACTTATCCCCACATGCTATCCAGCGCTGATTACCATTGGCGGCAATCAGCATCGCATGCATTTGCGCACAAAAGTGCGTTATACATATGCCGATTGCTGATAATCAATAATTTTTTTGATATATATGTATGCGCGGTACGCGTACACACTTGCAAAAGCAGGAAGGAAGCGCTACCGCGTTGCAGGAAATGTGGAAATTGTGACATTAAAAAGCCATGCAGTGCAACGCTGGTAGCGCACTGTTATGTACATATACACACATTTCTACAGATTTGGAAAGTTGTTCGCATCGCGTCGCCGTTGAAGTTGACATTCATGATGACGCCAGCGACAATGGCTGTCCAAGCTGCGCAATTGCAGGCACTCTAATGACGCTATGCGTTTATGGTATATGTGTGTCTTTTTGTGCTACTTTAGCGGCTGCCACATGTGTCAAGTGACAAATGAGGCTGACGCGTGCATGTACACACACACACACTTAGTCTTGCGCGCAAACACATGTGTACTGTCATTTGTTGCCTTGTATAAGGCCATAAGCAGATCTGACAGTTGGCTGCTGACGCTGTGCCTGCCGCGCGCGCACCCACTACCACGCGCTCACATTTATTTGTCATATCTACTGCCACTTAAGGGGCTTGAAATGCGCATTATACTCGTTACCACTTAATACGCCAAGTGCATATCAATGTGATGCCGTTCAGCGCTGCGCTGCTGCCAGCGCGCTGTGAATTTCAGTTGTTGGTGCAGCGCCGCGTGGCTACGTAAACACATATACACATAGCGCACGCTTAAGAAAACTGCAAATGACTATTACGCGCTAGTTGCTTACCCCTCTACCACTCTATTAACTGTGCAAGAAGTTGCTCTAAGGTGACGCGCTTGTGTATTCATATGCTGCGCGTTAGCTCTGCTGCCCTACTAAGTGCAAATAGCACCAGCTTTCAGCTACCCCTGACCACGCCTTAACTATTTCCGATTTCTGCGCTCACCGACGTGCAGACAATTTAGACATTTGCGCTGACATTACTCTGCGCTGCATGCCAACAATGCCGCTTACCATTGCTTGCAAGTCTCTGATTCTTTTCGTTATCTTTCGTTGATTTGCTTCTTGCATTCATTGTTTTTTTTTCAGTTTAAGTTTCCTTACTATGTATTTACTAGCTGTCTGTCGACTATTTATGCTGTTTCTGCTTCTTTTGCTTTTTCTACATGTCATTGCTGTGCAACACATTCCTAGCAATTGTTTGCCATTCCTTGCAACACTACGAATTCTTTCGTCACATACTCACACATACACACACTTACAAACACTCATACTTGCCGTCAGAGCTATGCGCATACCCTCTAAACCGCCACCGACAGCACCACATCTTTTTTGCCGGCAAATTCCTTTGTTCGTCCGTCTGCATACACATACATACGTACATTGTTAAGAGAGCAACTGCTGCCCGCCCACCGCTCTTGCCGCACTATACTATAAATCCTTCTTCAACAATTTCTCAGACCGCCAGCGTCTGCTTCACCTGCTCTACCCTTCCATCAACGAGTTCGTTGCAGTTCATCTCAGCAATTTCCTTTGCTGCCAAATGCGCTCTTAATAATGTAATTTTCGAAAACGTGTTGAGTTATTTTTGGCCTTTCTCTGCTCCATGTCTTCTTCTTCTTACATACATCGCCGCTACCTGCTATCCTTTTTGCATTTCTTATCCCCATACGCCACCCAATCTTTGCTCGCTCACAACTTTTTACGATATACAAAATATATAGAGATATACATATATATGTATATAGGTGTGTACCAACACACACACACTTACACACATATAAATGCAAATGCTTCCTCCGACGCTGGAAAAAGACATTGAATATCATCTCTCTTCTTATGCAAATTATATTTTCTATGAAATTTTTCGTTATATTGTGGTCGGTTATGTATATTTTTAACGAGCGCATGGCCGCTGTTGCAAGAGGGAGGAGCGAAAAAGAATCTATATAAACACATAAATATATACATGCCTTCATTAGTCATGACCAAGTGTGGTTTTCAACTCTAAAAGGAGTGTGTCGTGGTAAACTAAAAAGTGCTGGCGCCATTTGGAGTTCTAAAATTATCGGAGTTCTCCAGAAAAGCCTGACAGTAATTTATCAAATTCGAGAAAAAAATTTAATTCAAGAAAAAATTGAACAAAAGTGGGCAGAGTTTTCAGTTTATTTTAGACATTTTTCCAGGGAGACAATGGCAATTTATTTATACTCGCTTGAGGACAAGAGCGCCTAGCGCTAAATTCCGAATATGTTTACAGTAAACAGACTGCATACTTGTATCTCGCAACGTTTCGATAAAACACAATACGACCAGGTTGAGATAGCTACCGAGAGTTGAAGAGGAAAGCGAAATGCATATGGAGATAAAAAAATGAAGTGATCGAAATGCGGGAGTATAAAGATCTTGAGAAGCTGGCCGACAGGAGTAATGTTCGAGACTACGAAAAATTCTACGAATATATACGCGACTAATAGAAGGCTTCGAGAAGGCAGCATACTCTTATAGAACCCAAAGAAGTGATCTAGCGGCTGATAACCAAAGTGTGCTGAGTTTTTGAAAGGTATACTTCTCTAGCCTGCTAAGCGTCAATGAAAGTATAACAGCGATTCCGCAGTCGATAACGATTAAACCAATGTTCCATTAGCCGACTATGAAGACCTGAAGAACAACAAAGCGACGTGGGCCGATATATTCAAATACGGCGGCCAAGAACTGATAAGCTGCATACATCAGCTTATTTGCAGAATATAGTCGGACAAAAGCTTACATCAAAATTGAAACCTAAGTTCTGCCCAGTCCACAAAAAGAAAGACCCGACAATCTGCGCCAATTACGGTAGGGTAAGTCTCCTAAATATCGCGTAAAAGGTCCTCATAAGCGGGTTGTGTAAAATCAACAATTGACCAATTATTCACCATGCGCTAAATCTTTTGAAAAGACCCGTGAAAAGATGATCGACACACAACACCTTTTCGTCTATTTGAAAGCTGCCTCTATATCGCTATGTCTGAACTTGACATCTCCTCAAAACTAATTTTGCTGTGTAACTGACGTTAAGCAACACCAAAAGCTCCGACAATATCGGTGAAGACCTTTCCAAGCAGTTCGATACAAAACAAGGTTTCAGACAGCATGATCCGACTCGTGTGATTTCTTAAATCTACTGCTGGACAAAATAATACTTGTATGAACTGCAGAGCTAAAAAGAGAAGGCACAATCTTTTATAAGAGTATCTGCTGACGTACGTCGATTATATTGATATTATTGGTCTCAACAATCGCATTTTCTTTTCTGCTTTTTCCAGACTGAATAAAAAGCGTAGCGTATGGGCTTGGTAGTGAAGGAGGTCATAAAATAAACAGACGTCATATTCGCAACATAACACCCACGTCACTGTTGACAGTCATAATATCTGAAGTCGTAGGTAATTTCATCTATCTTGGAACCAACATTAACACCATCAACAATGCCAGATTAAGACCAAATGAAATGTGACACTTCCTTAAAGTCAAATCGATTTCAGTTATACCGAATTCCCACTCATAGTTAAATATGGCAATAAATTAAAATAACTCGCTTAATTACAGTTTGATGCAAAATTTATAGAAAATCAAAAATATTCTGTAAATAACAACAAAGCCATTTAGTTGAATGCATTACAAAAGAGAGGGAGTATAATCACTTGCTCTATCTGATTAGGTCAGTCCGTTTCATTTATGTCAGTTGTCTGTTCGTTTCGCCGTTTCCAATATTCGACCAATTGAAGACAATTAATATAATTTGGATTTATTTGTAAGTTGAGTATAGTGTCTAAGCGGTTTAATTCATATAAATATAACATATTCCTCAACATTTGCAGATGATCAATGAAATCTGGGACTCTAAGCTGCTTAATTGCAGTGTTATTTGGATAATATCGATTAACTTTCTTTGGGCTCAGCCGAAAATTTGAATTGAATTTACTCGATCTCGGGCTTTAGGCTGTAAGCCAGAAGCAAGACTTGCACGTTCTTTTCGGCGTAACTATGATACTAGATGCAACCGTGAAATTCTGCTAAGCCAGAACCTGACCAAAATTTTAAAGAAAAGCAACTGCATTGTCATTTTTGATTATTTAAAGAACACAGACGCTTTTTTTGTACAAAACTAACTATAGTCTCAGACCAACGAATTCAAAACTTTTTGTTTCACTAAGGCAAAAAGTGGACCTTTTAGAAATCAGAACACACGGAATGTTTGAATGCAGATAAATAAGCCCGAATGGACTGAAAATACATTATGACATACCGATATTATTTAGACATACAAACTCGAACTTATTTGGGGAGATCACCGTATATGTATAGGGGGTTTAAGGGGTTCTGAGTGTTACAATATATTATTCACAATCACATGATACATGTCAGCATTAGTCATACAACAGTTTCTGGTTACCAAAAGCTTTAGTGTGAAGAGAGTTCTTCAAAGAGAAGAAAATATTGCAATTAAAAATACTAGCTTCGATTTTAAACTAACAGCAATAATACCATTTTTTATGGGACTTAAAAGTTTTATCACGAGAGTTATAGCTGATTATACGCTTTGCTTCGAAAACGGCGAAACAGGTAATGTAAGGAGATGTTCCAAAGATTTGAATGAAGGTGGAAGAGAATGGAAGTTTTGTTTTAATAAAACATATGCGGTTTTAATACACAATACGAGGTACAAGACTTAATGGTTCTCCCGGACAAAATCATTTTTGTTCAGGTGAACTATTGTATCTTTCAGAAAAACACTTAAAAGGAAGTTGACTTAGGATAAATATAAAATTAATCTTCAATCAAATTATGGTACAATGTCCACTGTACAAGAAGTAAAACCTGTTTTGATTCGACCACCTTAGACGACCAACAGCCGGTTTGTTGTAGTTTTTTTGTACTTTACACAAATTATTCTATCAAACATTTCATGGCATTTGCGCAATGTTGCATGCGACTTCTTCAACGCCTTATCGACTGCGAAATACAACAAATTAAAGAAGTGGACGAAACGAGTTAAAATACAAGCGCAAGCTAACCAACTCACCACAGCAACGACGCGCTGTTGGCCGAAATGTCGATACGTGTGTGCGCCATATAAGGTAACCAGCGCGACGACAACGATAGCCGTGTGACGGACATATGCTACAAGTACAATAATGACAATCGACATCAAATTATGCGCATTTCCGTTGAACTTAATTAAGAGTCAGCGTTTCGCAACGACAGCGACGACAAAGTGCAGCACAAGCTAACCGGCACCGGTAATAGGCCCATAAAGGGCGACAGTGCGTGCGTCGCCTGCGGTTTCAATTTCTGCAGAAAAGCAGACAAACGTACAGTAAACTTCCTGACTGACGAAGCGATGAAGGTAGACCACAGCGACCGTGGCAGACAAAGTATTGGTTGAAACGGACGCTCAAATGTATGGACAAAGAAAACAGCGTTGACTGGCGAAACTAGCAAACCAGGGCGCGCAAGGTACAGAGATGCGTAAAAAAGAAAAATTGCATTGCCGCGTTAGGCGCGCGCGCGCTCTGTCATTCGCGCATTACAAGGTCTTGCAACAACTACGCGCATTTGTCGTGCACATGTGCTGTCGTCTTGTCTGTATATATAATATAATATTTATCGTCGACAATGTTTGTGCGCTCGTCGCCGATGACAACGTAAATGTACCACATTAACGAATCGTACGTGCGCTTACACACTTACGTTGCACGCAATTTAACGCGACTGTCATAGTCAGCATGTGTATATTTGCTTTTGCTTATTATGGCCTTGCTGGTTGCTAAAAATACTGCGCCTTTGTATTTTCGCAGCGGCAGCGTCCTCACCGTCATGTCTTTCTTTATGTTATTTGGCATAAAATATGACAGCAGCGCTCGCGCCTATATATATATATATAGATGTGGTACGCAAACATAGGTACGCGCATTACCGCGTAGCAACATAACTGTAACTGTTTATTGTGTTTTTGTTGCTGCTCATTATGTATTTTATTTACGATTTAATTTTCACATTTCATAAAATCACATCGCAATGCGCCATAGTTGCCGCCGCAACGGTACGTGGCATGTTGTCGGATGTGGCACAAATATTTATGACATACATACATACAGCACAAGTACTTGCTACTAATCCATAAACGCACCGACATACTTGACACGCGCGCTACCCGTTAACGCAAGCGCGGAAGTATGGCACTAATTGCCACCAAGCTTAAAAAATTTGCAGAAGTAAGCGAATGGCGTATTCGCCCTATAGAGTATGAGCACCTAAATTTATATATTTAGGTATATTTGTGTTTGGTGAGGCACAAGTTGTGGCAAGTAAATATGGACTAAAACTCATGTAAAAAAAGATATGTATGTTTGTGGTAGTTTTTAGTGTTCAAGCGCCTGAGAATCCTCACCACTATTTCCAACAGTCGGTTTTTCTACCAGTAGTTAATTCTGTCACGAAACTATTTGTTGGCATGCTTTTTATAACTTTAGACTGTATTCGATGGTGCCATGGTTTAGATCGACATTTAAGTCCAGACTCATGGATTTGCCAACTACCTCGAGTTTAGGTTTGGTTTAAATAGAGTAGGAGATATTACAATATGATTTGTTGCGAAAGTGACCCCTGCGGTATTATGTTATGTTATTATATATTATGTTATGTTACGTTATGTTACATTATGTGTATTATATTATGTTATGTTA